ACAACTTTAGTTTTACTCCACGGAAAACGATAAAACTAATCAAAATTTCACAAAAAAAAAAAAGAAAAAAAATACACACACAAAACACCAACATATGCCCGAAATACAAACATTTAGCAAAGTATATTTTTATATAGTAAAAATACCCTACTCGAGCATTAGAATTCATATTTATCAAGATTTGTTTCAAAAAATATATTATCAAAAAACGGCTTTTAATTTTCCCAAAATATGTCTGCTTCAATTGTAATAACGCGTGCTAAAAGTAATATAAACAATAACAGCTGATTGTACATAAAAAGGGTTGCCAACAGTAAAAACTTTATTCGATTTTTTCTTATCAGTATGTTGTGTATTGAATGCCAAGGCCGATTTTTATAACTAGCACATCAATTTAATAGACAAAAATATAGTCATATATAACTTATGTCCTGTATTTTAAATTGATGATAAGTAATTTTTTCCAATTCGAGTTTGGAAAGCCCATGTTTTTGACCGGCACATAGTTACATATAGACCTCCAATAATTATTAACAATGAATATCAATTGCAGATACAGGAATAACAGGTCACAGGTCCTTTTACGGGGAACAAACAACATCAATTTTCCGCTTGTTATCCATTTTTCTAATAAAAATGCTGTTTTATAGTTTGCGCCAATTTGTTTGTTGTTTTAATCAGCTGTGTCGAAACAATCTTTTTACTGGATGTTGTTCGTTTACTTTTTGCAGTTTTCTCTCTTGAAAAGGAAAAATTTGTATTTACTCTCTGCAAATTCTTACTGAGTAAATATTACTGGGAAAGGTCCCGCTGATTGTCCGCGATTGTTTATATGATATTCACAGCTACTCAAAGAATAATATTGAGCTTCCCACTATCTACTTGATTTAGCATAGGATTTCAAAGAAATTGAGATATGTAATTTTGTATGCTAAAACAATGATCACGAATGAAAAGCTATAGTATAAACGTATCTTTACCATATTTATTTTTTTTTACAAAAATTTATTTATTTTTAATTGCTCTTATTGTTTTACTATCCTCTGCCCTTTGTAAAGTTTTGAATGAGAAAACCTCAAGGCAGCAGATTGAAAGTCATTTATGAATGATATAACCTTCTGTTGTATTTGTCATGCCAACTAAATAATAATTCATGTTCCTCTTTCTGTTTTATGCTTTCGAAGCGCCATTAGGCCCATATAGCTCTTTTTCTTGGTTTAGATTTTTTGAAAAATTTATTTGTATGAAAAATCATGTTGTTGCCATCAGCAGTACGTACCTATTTAAGGCGGAAACAAAAATTATAGTTTTTGGCAATAAAGCTAAAGCAAGAAAAAAATTCAACATTTGATGACATGAGACTTCCTTCCTTCTCACATATTTAATGCAACTATTCTAAATATGATATGAACAAAATTTGACATCGCTACACCTTGCATTCGGGAGATGCAGTAATTTTTTTCTGGAAAATAAAGAAAACCAAATTCAAAATCGATGGAAGAATCATTTTAACCCTTTGTGGCTCAATGTTGCCCACAGTCAACAAAATGTTTTAGAGCTTATATTTTATATGCAGCTAGTGATATATATCATTTGGATTTCATATGTCAAGACCTGATTATGGACGACACATATCAATAGAATAATCAAAAAAATTCAAAATTTTGATAAAGTTGTGAGCTTTTTAATGTGGAGAAGAGGTACATTCGTGTACAGTACTAATTAAAATCAAATTGTACAAATTCCACCCTCAGAATTATTTTTGATTCTTTTAAAATTGAATATAAAGAATACTTTAAAATGACTTTTCTGACGATTTTGCATTTGGTTTTCTTGATATTGGACTTTAATTTTTCCGAAAGAATGTACTGTATCTCCCGAATGTAAGGATATATCGATGTCAAATTTTGTGCATATCCTATTTATTATATAAGCTCTAAAACATTTTGTTGCCTAAAATATATCCAGACAAGCTAGCTTCCCCAAATTTGGAGTGTAGAATTCTAATGAAGTAAAATAAGAAAAAATGGGCGGGCCACGCCCCCGTATGTTGGGTATTTTGGCAATGTTGGTTTCGTTTTTCAACGGAATTGGCTGAATATTGAATTAGTTCTTCGTATGTCCCCATATAACGGTATATCCCATTATTCGGAATTGTTGAGATTTTGCGCACGTTTCTTTAACAAATAGGCACTATTTATGTATTTAAGGTATTGGGTAGCAAATCTTCCTACCAAAAACTATCGATATTGGTCAACTTGTTAAAATAGTCCCCATATAACGGTACCTCCGAAATTTCGGTATTAAGGGGAATTTGGGTACTTTTTTCAACCATGTTGGATATAATTTATATTTTGGATTCCCATTTCTTGGAATGACTGATGTCACAAGTAGGGACGGGTAGAAACTATCTGAAGTATTAAAAAAATATTTGTTTAACAGAACTGTGTCCCGTTGAACCATTCGACCCGTAGCTCAAAATTAGGACCGATTCTTCAGCATCCATTGTACACAATATTTCATTTCTATATTTATTCTCACTTCTGTGAAGTATATTCCATTTTAGTTACATAATTAATATTTATTTTTAATTAATATTAATTTTCTTAACTTACTATCAATTTCGTATGGAATATTTCTTTTTATGTAATTTTTGATCCTGAGTTTTTCTGCAAAAAATGTTAATAATTCGTTTATTAGCAGTCATTAGCAGACAATTTTAGTATGACATAAAACTAGGGTTTTCTACAAACAATCACATATAAATAGTTCCTGTAACAATTTGTTACAACTTTAGTTTTACTCCACGGAAAACGATAAAACTAATCAAAATTTCACAAAAAAAAAGAAAAAAAATACACACACAAAACACCAACATATGCCCGAAATACAAACATTTAGCAAAGTATATTTTTATATAGTAAAAATACCCTACTCGAGCATTAGAATTCATATTTATCAAGATTTGTTTCAAAAAATATATTATCAAAAAACGGCTTTTAATTTTCCCAAAATATGTCTGCTTCAATTGTAATAACGCGTGCTAAAAGTAATATAAACAATAACAGCTGATTGTACATAAAAAGGGTTGCCAACAGTAAAAACTTTATTCGATTTTTTCTTATCAGTATGTTGTGTATTGAATGCCAAGGCCGATTTTTATAACTAGCACATCAATTTAATAGACAAAAATATAGTCATATATAACTTATGTCCTGTATTTTAAATTGATGATAAGTAATTTTTTCCAATTCGAGTTTGGAAAGCCCATGTTTTTGACCGGCACATAGTTACATATAGACCTCCAATAATTATTAACAATGAATATCAATTGCAGATACAGGAATAACAGGTCACAGGTCCCCTTTTACGGGGAACAAACAACATCAATTTTCCGCTTGTTATCCATTTTTCTAATAAAAATGCTGTTTTATAGTTTGCGCCAATTTGTTTGTTGTTTTAATCAGCTGTGTCGAAACAATCTTTTTACTGGATGTTGTTCGTTTACTTTTTGCAGTTTTCTCTCTTGAAAAGGAAAAATTTGTATTTACTCTCTGCAAATTCTTACTGAGTAAATATTACTGGGAAAGTAAACGAACGAACCTAATAACACTAAAATAACAATCGAAAAAATACAATTATACCAGAAATTGATAGAACTATTAGGTTCGTTCGTTTACTTTCCCAGTAATATTTACTCAGTAAGAATTTGCAGAGAGTAAATACGAATTTGTCCTTTTCAAGAGAGAAAACTGCAAAAAGTAAACGAACAACATCCAGTAAAAAGATTGTTTCGACACAGCTGATTAAAACAACAAACAAATTGGCGCAAACTATAAGACAGCATTTTTATTAGAAAAATGGATAACAAGCGGAAAATTGATGTTGTTTGTTCCCCATAAACATTTAAAAGGGTTGTGACCTGTTATTCCTGTATCTGCAATTGATATGGGGGTGGACATAACCGATGGTGTTCCAGACATGTTAGGGATGCACACTTTTTTGTTTCGATTTGGAACCTAAAAAATCGTTCGCCAATTATTTTATTACTCTTATTTTTAAATACTTGCGTTTTCTTCATCCATTTTGGTATTTAATGATACAAAATCAAAATAAAATTCACAAAACAATCAATTTTCTTGAGAACAATTTTTTGTTTGTTTACAAAACATAACAAAACAGCTGATTAAATATCAGCTGATGGTACAAGAAAATTCTTACTGAGTAAATTTTCCTTGTAAGAATTTGCAAATACTCAGTAACACCACTGTCAAATCTGCTCTCTCAATTCACTCTCTTTTACTGGACTTTTGGGCAAACGAACAACATTTTGTAATAATTTGTACAAATTATTGAGTAAACGAACGAACCTATTAAAAAACAATAAATATTTCTCAAACCAAATAAATATTGGAAATAAAAATTTTAAAGTTTGGAATTCATCTAAAGGTACGATTCGACTTATTTAATAAAAACATCTAGTATATTTTTTAAGGTCTTGAGTTGAAAATCAAAGACTCTTCGTTTGCTCCTAGATTATGCTAGCCTAAATACACATTTCTACATGTTCCTTCGATTGTGACTGATGTATTTTGTTATAAAAAATCCATCGATCTTGCCCTTCGTAGTCGAATCATTCCGTTCAAAACTTAAATTGGGAAATATGCATTCTTTAATAATGTAACCAAAATTGAACTTTTTTATGTTTAATGTAAAATACAGGACATAAGTTATATGACTATATTTGGTTTCTATTATTTTTAGAGAAAAGAAGTTACCGCTTTTCCATTACGACGATAAATGCGTTTAAACTACCATGTTAAGTTTGTTTCTATTATTTTTGTCGGCACTGTTTTTGCAGCGTGATTCCTTTACATTTTGATACATTTTAAATAGTTACTAGAATAACATTGGAGTGCATTTGTTGTAGTTTTGTAAATACCACGAATTTTAAAATATTATAAAATAAAACTAATAATATACGTTTTATATTATTTTAGTTGCCCCCAAAATTGATAGACGCAATATTCATACATATAACGTCAAAGCAGGAGAATCAATTTTATTGGATATAATTGTTGAAGGTGAACCTGCACCTGATGTTTACTGGACTCATAATGGAAAATCTATTCAACAATCATCCTCGAGAAAAGTGGAAAATGTTCCTTATAAGACGAAATACAATAATTCCAATCTTGAACGCAAGGATACAGGAGTATACAAAATCGTAGCTTCAAATTTGTATGGACATGACGAAGTCGAATTCCAAATCAACGTTATCAGTAAGATAAAATTATATTATAGAATTATTTGAAAAAATAATAAATAATACAATATTTTATTTTTTTAGCAAAACCATCTAAACCAGAGGGCCCACTTGAAGTTTCAGATATTCATAAGGAGGGATGCAAACTTAAATGGAAAAAACCTAAGGATGATGGAGGAGAACCTATAGATGAATATATTATTGAAAAATTCGACCCAACAGAAGGAGTTTGGATCCAATGTGGCAAGTCATCCGTACCTGAATTTAATGTTGAAGGCTTGCGGCCGGGTTGTGAATACAAATTCCGCGTAAAGGCTGTTAATAAAGAAGGAGAATCGGAACCACTTGAAACGCTCAGCTCTATTATAGCTAAGGATCCATTTACTACTCCATCTGTCCCAGGAGCTCCTGAACCGACGGACTGGTCCTCGAACAAAGTCGAACTCACTTGGGCTGAGCCAATAACTGATGGAGGTTCGCCCATTATCGGTTATATTATAGAAAAGAAGGATAAATATAGTCCCATATGGGAAAAGGCTCTTGAAACAGATTGTTCTAATCCTATAGCGACGATCAACGGTTTAGTGGAAGGAAATGAGTATCAATTCCGTGTTATAGCAGTAAACAAAGCTGGTTATTCAGATCCATCTGAAGCTAGCAAACCATTTGTTGCAAAGCCACGTTTCTTGGAACCAAAAATCGATCGCCGTTATCTTAGAGATGTAACGATATCCGCTGGTTCGTCCCTAAAATTGGAAGCTAATATTACTGGCGAGCCAGCTCCAAAGGTTGAATGGAGATTTTCGAACTGTCCTTTGCAAAACAGCAAGACTGTAACTATTGAATCACCTGATTACTTTACAAAATTAATAGTACGACCTGCACAACGCGAAGACTCAGGAGAATACGTTGTCACAGCTACTAACAGTTCTGGAAAGGATACTGTTAAGATAAATGTTATAGTAACAGATAAACCGTCTGCACCTTCTGGGCCCTTAAATATTACAGATATCCACAAAGAAGGTTGCCATCTAAAATGGAAACGTCCCAAGGATGATGGAGGAATACCAATTGAATACTACCAAATTGAGAAAATGGATGTAGAAACTGGATGTTGGGTTCCTTGTTGCCGGTCAATTGAACCTCAGGTCGATGTTGTTGGGCTCAAACCTGGTGGCGAATATAAATTTAGAGTATCGGCCATAAATGGCGAAGGTGAATCAGAATTCTTAGTTGGAGATGAATCTATTATCGCAAAGAATTTGTTTGATGAACCTGATAAACCTCAAAACGTTCGTGCAGTAGACTGGGATAAAGATCACATCGATTTGGCATGGATGCCTCCCAGTCATGACGGTGGATCACCCATAACTGGTTATATTGTTGAAATGAGAGATAAGTATGGCCATTGGGAGAAGGCTTTAGAAGTACAACCCGATACTTTAAAAGCTTCTGTTACTAATGTAATTGAAGGACAAGTTTATGAATTCAGAGTTATTGCTGTTAATGCCGCAGGGTTAAGTGAACCATCGGAAGCAACAAATCCTGTTACGGCCAAAGCTCGCAACAAAGCACCACTTATTGATCGCTCTAATCTATGCGAAATTCGAATAAAAGCAGGCCAATCATTTACATACGATTGCAAAGTATCTGGAGAACCCGCGCCAAAAACTAAATGGCTTCACAAAAAAAGAGAACTTTATTCAAAAGATAATATTAAAGTAAAACATGTTGATTATTATACTAAATTAAAAGTTACAAACGCTACACGGTCAGATTCTGGTGTATATACAGTACATGCTGAAAACGAAAATGGCGTGGACTCCGCAGATGTCAAGGTAATTGTTATAGATAAACCTTCTCCGCCTACCGGCCCCCTCAAAGTCAACGACATTCATGCTAATGGGTGTTCTTTGGCTTGGAATCCACCTGAAGATGATGGAGGTCAACCAATTATTAACTATGTCATTGAGAAATTTGATGAATTAATTGGAAGGTGGGTACCTGCAGGAGAAACTGATGATAATACCACAACTTTCGAAGTCAAGGGCCTTACTCCAGATCATAAATACAAATTCCGCGTAAGAGCAAAGAATCGACAGGGAGTTTCTGACCCACTGACATCTACACAACCTATAGTTGCGAAAAACCCGTATGATACTCCTACCAAACCAGGAGTGCCTGTTATAAAAGATTTTGACAAGGACTACGTAGAGTTAGAATGGACACGACCGGAATGCAATGGCGGTACACCTATTACCGGTTATATTATTGAAAAACGTGGAAAGTACGGTTCAGAATGGGAACCATGTGCACAGATCGAAGGTGACAATACCAATGGTCGCGTTGAAGATTTAATTGAGGGAAATACATACGAATTCCGTGTACGTGCTATAAACAAGGCTGGTACCGGTGAACCTAGCGATGCTTCGGCTTCACACGTAGCCAGACCAAGAAATCTGCCGCCTGTAATAGACAAAAACTATATGTTAGATATAAAGATTCGTGCTGGTAACAGCTTTGAATTTGATGTACCTGTGAGTGGCGAGCCCGAACCAACAAAAGAATGGTCTCAAGACAACAACTTTATTATAAATACAGACCGTTTGAAAATTACAAATGATATTCATAGAACTAAATTACGAGTTATTGATGCAAAACGTGCTGATTCCGGAGAATATACTCTTATTGCTCGTAATATAAATGGTGTGGATAGAGCTACCGTAAAAGTTATTGTCTTAGATGTTCCTTCAATGCCTGAGGGCCCACTTCGAATCGACGATATTACCAAAAATTCTTTGAATTTGCATTGGCGCCCACCAAGAGATGATGGCGGCTCTGAAATTACGCATTATATTGTAGAAAAAATGGATACAGATGCTATGCGATGGGTTCCAGTAGCAGAGTGCAACGAATGTCACATAAGAGCAGATAATTTGATTGAAGGTCATGACTATAATTTCCGTGTTCGTGCAGTGAATAAACAAGGAATATCACAACCATTGCTTTCATCTCAAGGTGTAACAGTTAAAGATCCATTTTCTCGACCAGATAAACCCGGCCAACCACAGGCTGTTGATTGGGGCAAAGATTTTGTGGAGCTTGAATGGCCAGTTCCAAAACGGGATGGTGGTTCTCCAATTATTGGTTATGTTATTGAAAAAAGACAGAAGTTTGGTCAATGGGAAAATGCACTGGACGATATTACTCCTTCAAATAAAGTACGTGTACCCAATTTAAATGAAGGTTCTGAATACGAGTTCCGTGTTATTGCCGTAAATAAAGGAGGAAAAAGCGATCCCTCTGACCCCACAGTGCCTATTATATGTCAGCCCCGTTTTGTACCACCATGTTTCGACAAGTCACTGTTATCAGATATTACTGTACATGCTGGAAAACACTTCGGTTGGAACTTGCCCATTGTGGCTTCACCTGCACCTACAATTACATGGTTGTTTAATGGAAAGGTTATTGAACCTACCGATCGCATTGACAACCAATATTTCCACAATGAAATATCTTTCGAAATTTCAAATGCATTACGAAGTGATGAGGGTAGGTACACGCTTTTATTGAAAAATGAACATGGATCATTCGACGCATCAGCACATGTGAAGGTTTTGGATCGACCTGGAGTACCTGTAGGTCCTTTGGAGATTACTAGGGTTACCCGCGAAGGCTGTCATCTTACATGGAATATTCCACTAGATGATGGTGGTTCCCCTATTCTTCATTATAAGGTAGAAAAAATGGATATGTCGCGTGGAACATGGTCGGACGTTGGCATAACCAGTCACCCTGTATATGATGTTACAAACTTAGTACATCGCAAGGAATATCTTTTCCGGGTTAAAGCTGTCAATGGAATTGGCGAATCGGATGGTTTGGAAGCAGATAAAAGCATTATTGCTAAAAATGAGTTCGATGAACCTGATTCACCCGGAAAGCCTGTAATAACCGACTGGGACCGTGATCACGTTGATTTAGAGTGGGCTGTTCCGAAATCTGATGGTGGATCTCCTATTACAGAATATATTGTACAGAAGAAAGAAAAGGGTACACAACAGTGGGTAAACGCAGTACATGTACCCCCTAATCAAACTACAGCAACTGTACCTGATTTAACTGAATACGCAGAATATGAATTCAGAATTATAGCTGTTAATAAAGCTGGACAGTCAGAGCCTTCTGAGAGCTCAGATATGATACAAGCCAGATGTAGATATTTGGCACCTAAAATTATTACGCCTATGCGTGATCTTCGAACCAAAGCTGGTCTTATACTTCATGCTGACATATCATACATAGGAGAACCAATTCCAGAAGTTTTATGGACTCGTAATAACATAAACATGGTAAATACTGAGCGGATAAGTGTTAATACTGTTGGGTACCATACCATCATACATATTGTGAATTGTCAAAGAAGCGACTCCGGGCGGTATCACTTGATGTTGCGTAATGACTCTGGCATAGACGAAGGTGATTTCGACGTTGTTGTTCTGGATTGTCCAGGCCCGCCAATAGGACCCCTACAATTTGAAGAAATTACATCAAACTCTGTCACAATTTCGTGGAAACCTCCAAACGATAATGGCGGCTCAGAAATATTGTCTTACATTATAGAAAAGCGCGATTTGACGCATGGTGGAGGCTGGGTTCCAGCTGTTACATATGTCAATGCAAAATATAATCATGCATTAGTTCCTCGCTTAGTTGAAGGTACTCAATATGAATTTAGAGTAATGGCTGAAAATGCGCAAGGACGATCTAGCCCATTGACATCCGATCCAATTATTGCTAAAAATCAATATACTGTCCCTGGAGCACCCAGCAAACCACAAATTACCGATAGTGATCGAAGCTTCATTTCCTTTAAATGGTCTGCCCCCATTAGCAATGGAGGATCTCAAATTATTGGATATGACATTGAACGGCGTGACATTCCAACCGGACGTTGGATTAAAATAAATAGTGTTCCCGTACCAGCAACCAATTACACTGATGACCATGTCAAAGAAGATCATCAATACCAATATCGAGTGTCTGCTGTAAATGCTGCTGGTAATGGAAAACCATCAGACTCTTCAGATGTACTATCCGCAAAACCTATGCGGGAAAAACCACGTCTGAATTTAGATGCAATTTTGGGACGTAAAATAAAGCTACGCGCAAAGGAAACTCTTAATCTCAATATACCTATTTCCGGTGCTCCTACCCCATTGGTAGATTGGAAACGAGGTGATTTTAAAATTCCACAAAATGTTCGAACTTCTTGTAACACAGATAATGAGAATACAATTTTGCGGATAGAAGATATTCTTAGGGAAGACGCTGGTACGTATACTGTTACTGCCTCAAATGAGTTCGGCAAAGATTCGGCTGATATAGAAATTATAGTCGTCGACAAACCTACTCCACCTGTTGGACCATTGACATATATTGAACAAGGAAATGATCATATTTCTATGTCATGGAATCCTCCCAAGGATGATGGTGGTAGCGAAATTGTGGGATATATTATTGAAGTGGCTGAATATGGAACAGATCTCTGGCGTCCGGTATCCGGCTATTGTCCTCGAACAAATCATACTGTAAAGGGTCTTACCGAAGGAAAAAAATATATATTCCGAGTAAAAGCTGAAAATATATATGGCGTTTCTGAACCTCTTGAAGGTGCGCCTATTGTGGCAAAATCACCATTTGATCCACCAGGTCCTCCAAGTCAACCAAAAGTTGTTTCTTACTCTCCGAATTCTGCAAGTTTGGAGTGGCATCCCCCTGAATACGCAGGTGGAAAACCTATTACAGGATACATAGTAGAACGCAGAGAAAGAGGTGGTGAATGGATTAAGTGTACGCACTATCCCACTCCAAATACAAGTTTTACGGTACCCCATTTGCATGAAGGTGGTCGTTACGAATTCCGAGTAAAAGCAGTTAACGATGCTGGTCCAGGAGCTCCTTCAAAACCTTCGGAAAGTATCACTGCTGAAATACAAAGAAGTGTTCCGGATGCTCCAGATGCTCCTAATACGGACCGAATTACAAGAAACAGCGTAACTGTTTCATGGCGCCCTCCAAGACATGATGGTAAATCTAAACTTAAAGGATATTTCTTGGAAATGAAATCTAAGAGTTCGAGTTCTTGGGAGCCTGTCAATGAACTTCCATTGCATAATACGGTACATACAATTAATAAATTAAAAGAAGGCGAAGAATATATGTTTAGAGTTATAGCTATTAACGAAATTGGAAGATCCAATCCATCGAAACCTTCACAACCTGTAATTGTCGAAGAGCAACCAAATAAACCCTGCATGGACTTAGGATCAGTTCGAGATATTGAATGTCGGGCTGGTGAAGATTTTTGCATTCATGTCCCATATATAGCGTTCCCAAAACCTACAGCTCAGTGGCATGTCAATGATATCATGCTTCAAGATGATGGAAAACATTGTTTCCAAAATTTAACCGACGAAGCCGCTTCATTTATTGTTAAAAATGCAAGTCGTAATGATACTGGACAATACAGATTACAATTAAGAAATCCTTCAGGATTTGACGCATGTACTGTCAATGTAAGGGTATTGGATCGCCCACGCCCTCCAACAAACTTACGTGCAGAGGAATTTGCCGGTGATGCATTAACTCTATACTGGCAACCACCAAAAGATGACGGCGGTTCTCAAATCACAAACTATATTATTGAAAAGAAGGAAAAATCGTCCTCAAACTGGTCGAAAGTCAGTAGCTATTGCACTGTACCTTTTATACGTGTTCGAAACCTATGTGCCGGTAAAGATTACGATTTCCGAGTAGTAGCTGAAAACAAGTATGGAAAATCGGACGCAGCAGTTACATCAGAGCCGATACGAGCTAAATATCCATTCGACGTTCCCAGCGCTCCCGGTATCCCAACATTTGTCGACTCAACGGAAGATAGCATCACTGTATCATGGCAAAAACCAAAAAGTGATGGTGGATCTCCTATTACTGGATATGTTATTGAAAAACGTCTCATAAGTGAAGACAAGTGGATAAAAGCATTACATACACTTTGTCCAGATACATGCGTTAAAATTCCTAATCTAATAGAAAATGCAGAATATGAATTTAGAGTGGCTGCCGTAAATATGGCAGGCCAATCGCCATATAGCACAGCCAGCGATCCAATATTCTGCAGGCGACCTCAGCATTCTCCGAAAATAACTTCGGACTTATCAATTCGTGATATTAATGTAATAGCTGGTGAAGATTTCCGCATAACCGTGCCATACACCGCTAGCCCCATTCCAAAACCGTCATGGGTAATAAATGGACAAGATGTTATTCAAGATGATCGTATCACATTTACAACTAATGAATACAGCACCGTGTATTATAACAAGTGTGCTAAACGTTCCGAAACAGGAACATATACCATAACATTATCTAACAGTAAAGGATCAGATACTGCTTCTTGTTACGTTACAGTCTTTGATAAACCAGGGCCACCACAAGGTCCATTAACAGTGTATGATATTACGCCAGATACTTGCACTCTATCATGGAAAACGCCATTAGATGATGGTGGATCGCCAATAACAAACTACGTAGTGGAAAAAATGGATAAAAATGGAACATGGACAAAAGTTAGCAGTTTTGTGAGAAATATCCATTATGACGTAATGGGATTGGAACCAGGTCACAAATATATTTTCCGTGTCCGAGCAGAAAATCAATATGGCGTTTCACCTCCGTTGGAGATGGAGGACAGCATCACAGCTAAATACCAATTTACAGTACCAGATCCTCCAGGACAACCTAAAGTTATTGATTGGGACTCTGACAATGTTACATTGTTGTGGTCTCGTCCAAGTAATGACGGCGGATCACGCATTCAAGGCTACCAAATAGAATATCGCGACATTGTTAACGATTCTTCATGGAACACTTATGAATTTTTAGTGAAAGACACTAAGTATCAACTTTACAATCTTAAAAAAGGGTGTGAATATGAATTCAGAATAAGAGCTAAAAACGCAGCTGGATTTAGCAAGCCATCAGCACCGTCAAGTAAATTCAAACTGAAGGGCAAGTTTACAGTTCCATCTGCACCAGGAACTCCACAGGTAATTAAAGTTGGCAAAAGCTACGTTGATCTTAAATGGGAAAAACCCCACAGCGATGGAGGTTCCCGAATTACTGGCTACATTGTGGAACGCAGAGATGTAGGAGGAGCTGTGTGGGTAAAATGTAATGACTATAATATTTTAGATACAACGTATACAGCAATAAATCTCATTGAAATGGCCGACTATGAATTTAGAATTTTTGCTGTTAATGCTGCGGGTCGTTCTGAACCCAGTTCATGTACTATGCCCATTAAAGTATGTGAAGTTCTAGGAGGCGAGAAACCAGAATGGATTACCCGACTACAGGATAGAGTGGCACCGTTTGGAAAAGATTTTACTTTACAGTGCGTTGCAACTGGTAAACCAGAGCCTACAGCTCGATGGTTACGAAATGGCAAGGAGATTCAAATGAATACTGGAAGATTTAGTTGTGACAGTAAGGACGGGGTATTCCGATTACATATATCAAACATACAATCTGGCGACGAAGGAGATTATACTTGCGAAGCAGTAAATTCTTTGGGATTTGTACACACTTCCGGTTATCTTCGTATAGGATCTCCCCCTGTCATACATAGATGCCCTGAAGAGCTGTTCTTACCTGAGGATGACAATGCGAAAATTAAAGTATTTTATGGTGGCGATCATCCAATGAATATTCAAATATATAAAAATAATGAAAAAATCGTGGATGAAGAAAATCACCTCAAAATAACGGTTTTCGATGATTATGTTACAATATTTTTACAAGGCATCCGTAAATCTGATGCTGGTTTATATGAGATTGAATTTTCCAATGATTCTGGCAAAGCATCGGCACAATTCACACTTAATGTCACAGGATTACCATCAGCTCCAATTGGACCAATGCAAGTATCTCACATCAGTAAACATTCATGTTTACTTAATTGGCGCCCCCCATCTTATGATGGTGGACTACGTGTAACTCACTATGTTGTAGAAAGGAAAGATACAACTTCGCAACATTGGATAACAGTTTCTTCATACTGTAAAGACACGTCATTCAATGTTCAAGGACTAATTGAAAACCAAGAGTACTTATTCAGAGTTATGGCAGTAAATGGAAATGGCATGGGTCCAGCTTTGGAAGGTGTTAATCCGATTAAAGCTAAGGCTCCAATTGACCCTCCATCTCCACCACAAAAACCCACAGTTACAGAAATTGGTGAAGATTTCGTACATTTGGAATGGGGTAAACCAGAATCAGATGGTGGAGCCCACATTCAGGGATATTGGATAGACAAGCGTGAGGTTGGAAGCGATACTTGGCAACGAGTAAATATAACAATTTGTAATTGTACTCAAATATGTTGCCCTAACTTAATAGAAGGTAGGCAATATGAGTTCAGAGTGTTTGCCCAAAACGAAGCGGGCATATCTAGAGAATCCGTGAATTCAACAGCCATTAAGATGATTGACCCTAAAGCTGCCACGGCCCCTGTTATTGTGAAACCACTACGAGACGCACAGTGTATACAAAATCATAATGCTCAATTCACATGTACTATAACAGGTACACCAAAGCCATCAGTTACCTGGTACAAGGGCGCCCGGGAAATAACGAATGGGGCCCGATATCGCATTTATAATGAAGGAGAAAATTACTTCCTTAATATAAATGGAGTATTTGGCGAAGACGCTGATGAATATATATGCCGCGCCGTAAACAAAGCTGGTGCTAAATCATCACGTGCCGCCTTAATAATAGCAAGTAAGTTTTCTATCAATTTCATTACATAACGAAGAAATCTCTATTCATTCAATGTATATACAAACGCTGGTTAGGTTATTAACACTAGGTTTTCCAGTAATAATTGCTCAGTAAGTTCTTTTGTGAGAGTATGAGATATTCTTCTTCGAACAATAAAATTACGAAAAAAGTACAAATTTTCACATTTGTTGAAAAGTACATGATTTGCCAATCTATTGTTACTTGATTGTACAGTATTTTTCGGTTATTTGACACTGCGGTCGTGAATGTCAATTCCATAGCGTATACGTCAAATATAATCCACTAGATTTGTAAACATGACGTTTGAGACCGAGTGGATTTCGTAATTTTAAACGCTCTTTTATAAACTATTTCATAAAAAAATAAAGGGGAACGGCATCGAAAATCAAGTTTCACTCTGATATTCCTTTATAAATTTGACATTTTATACAAATCTAACTCAACACGCCTGAATTCCCGTATGTGTAGAAAATATTTATTGAGTAAGCATTTGTAAATTTTAGGGCACAACTGACTTTGATTCATAACCTTACCCAATAAGATTATTTATCTATTTAAAATAATGTGTTATTAATGTATGTATTTTGTTTTTAGCGTCACCGAAATTGAATGTACCACCAAGATTCCGTGGTACTGCATATTTCGATAAAGGAGAAAATGTCGTAATTAAAATTCCATTCACTGGTGTTCCTAAGCCACGTATACAATGGATACGAGATGGAGATAAAATTGAATCTGGAGGACACTATCACGTAGAAACAAAAGAACGGCATGCTGTGCTTACAATCCGTGATGGTTCACAGTTAGATTCTGGCACATATAGGATAACAGCAGAAAATGACCTGGGTTCTGATACCGCCGATGTTGTTATTCAAATCAGTGACCGACCAGATCCTCCTAGATTACCAATTATAGAAAATATCGGACACGATTCCTTAGCTCTCAGTTGGAAGTCTCCGGCATGGGATGGAGGTAGTGATATAACCAACTACGTGGTAGAAAAACGCGAACATCCAATGTCGTCGTGGATTCGTGTTGGAAGTACTCGGTTTACTTCAATGGCGGTTACAGGACTCACTCCTAGCAAAGAATACGAATTCCGCATTTACGCAGAAAATGTGTACGGTAGATCTAATCCTTCAGAAATAAGTACACTAATCAAAACTAAAGACTCCCTTAATAAAAAACCAAGACAACGTACATGGGAAATAGATGAAAGCGGAAAAAAAATTCGTGGAAAGCCTGAAGGAATTGTAAAGGATTACGACTCTTTCGTATTTGATATATATACAAGATATGTTCCTCAGCCCGTGGAAATTTCTCGGGAAAGCGTTTATGACAAATATGAAATATTGGAAGAAATCGGCACAGGCGCCTTTGGTGTGGTACACAGGTGTAGAGAACTTAAAACTGGCAATGTTTTCGCTGCTAAATTTATACCCGTCTCACATTCAATTGAAAAAGACATGATTCGACGAGAAATTGATATAATGAATCAATTACATCATCAGAAGCTTATAAACTTGCATGACGCCTTTGAGGATGACGATGAAATGGTCTTAATTTTGGAATTGTAAGTATTTAAAAAATTAAGATATTTAAGTTTTCCTTATAATCAATTACATTTCTTCAGCTTATCTGGCGGTGAATTATTTGAACGTATTACGGCGGATGATTATCAAATGTCTGAAGCTGAGGTCATACACTACATGCGTCAAATTTGTGAAGGTATTAAATACATGCATGAGAAGAATATTGTACACCTTGACATAAAACCAGAAAATATTATGTGTCAGACTCGTAAGAGTAATACAGTAAAATTGATCGACTTTGGTCTCGCAACCCGCCTGGACCCCAATGAAACAGTAAAGATAACGACGGGAACTGCAGAATTCGCTGCTCCTGAAATTGTAAATCGTGAACCCGTTGGATTTTATACAGACATGTGGGCCACTGGTGTTTTAACATACATTTTATTAAGCGGTTTATCACCATTTGCAGGAGATAATGATATCAACACTTTGAAAAATGTTAAATCATGCCAATGGGATTTCGATGTAGATGCGTTTAAATATATATCAGAGGAAGCGAAGGACTTTATCAGGAAACTGCTGGTAGCAAACAAGGAAAAACGAATGACAGCCCACGAATGTCTTTTACACCCTTGGTTATCAGGTGAACACGCAGATCGTAACAAACAAATTCAACGTTCTCGTTACCTTGCATTCCGTGATAAACTTAGAATGAGAAATAAAGATGCCGGCAATTACTTGGTGCCCTTGGGACGAATTTCAGAATATTCATCTCTGCGTAAACTTCTTATGGATAAATATAAGATATGCGATACTACATTTGACCGCAGACAAGCTGCTCCTCGATTCGTAATTCGCCCCTCTTCACAATTTTGTTACGAAGGACAAAGTGTTAAGTTTTATTGTCGTTGCATTGCCACTGCAACTCCTACTCTGTCTTGGTCGCATAACAATTCCGAATTGCGACAAAGTGTTAAATTCATGAAGCGATACATTGGTGATGATTATTACTTTATTATTAACCGAGTTAAGTTAGAAGATCGAGGGGAATATATTATTCGGGCAGAAAATCATTACGGATCTAGAGAAGAAGTTGTTTTCCTCAATGTACAGCCCTTACCTAAGGAACAACCAAGATATGTTCATGAATCTACCCCCGTACGAAGACGCGAACCACTTCCCTATACATTCTGGCAGGAAGAGTCCGAATCAGTGCCATATTTCACATTCCTGTTACGGCCACGTGTTATGCAATCACGTGACACTTGCAAATTACTGTGTTGCTTAAGCGGGAAACCAGTAGCATCTGTCAAGTGGTACAAGGATGGACGAGAGCTCAGCAAATATGAATATTCCATGACGCATTCTGACGGCGTTGTTACACTGGAAATTATAGACTGCAGACCATCAGACTCTGGCAAATACACTTGCAAAGCTACAAATTGCCACGGTACAGATGAGACCGAATGTGTCGTTATTGTTGAAGGCATTTAACCGTAAATGCAGTTTGTATATACTGAATGATATTTTTCATATTTGTTAAATTGTATCTATAATATTGGTAAAATTGCAAAATAATAAAATATTCGCGTTCTATATCCTACACTCAAAAAGGAATCAATTATACTCAACATTTTAATTTATTATTTCGGTTATTGTATTACTACATAAATTGAGTTACCATAATCATGCCCTTGAATAGAAAACAACGCAAACATTTTGTTTTTTTTAGTTTTCCAATTCGTTGTGTTGAAAATGGACGTACTGTCCATTTTGATCAACCTAAAAAAGTGTCGATAGAAAAAGTTAGTAGGTTAAATGTTAATTCCACCATGCCAAAATGATTTAGATCTACGCTTACAAATTACCGGCCAAATAGATTTTGAGGTCCTGGATATGACGGCTTCAATACCAGATATATTCGCGAAAGGCGCTTATTTTTTGCTTTTAAACATGATTGAATATATAACGTAATATGTTTTGTAAAATTTGCTAGAAAATGAGATTTGTATCGGAACCTAAACCACTTTCATAATAAACGACTCAATTATACTCAAATTTCTTTGAACTATGGGACATCTCAAAGGGAGTCTTAAGTTTTCGGTATAAAACGCCGTTCCTCATCTCGTAAAGTTTGTGGTATATTGTCTGTAGCTATTCTTTATTTTTGATAAGTTCGGAATCTTTATTTTGAGCAATAATCAATTCTTCTTCAAAAGTATTAGTTTCTATGGTCATAGTATCTAACGATAGACTTAGTGCATCTACATGCTGCATTCTAATATATTAACATTGAAAAAGTTTTATTTTATCAGCGTGAAAACTCCCTAGTCCAAAGAAAAATAAAATACTTTTTTAATTCAATTTGAAAGAATATTATTGATATGTATGGAAACATCTGGAATTATTTTTGGTCAAACTGTGAACTGATTTTAATTTAGTAAAACCGTAGGCAACACAATGTGTGCTCTTGTTCTTCGTAGGTATTCAATTCTTGTCCCAAAATATTTATAAAAAGAATATTATTGATATGTATGGAAACATCTGGAACTATTTTTGGTCAAACTGTGAACTGATTTTAATTTAGTAAAACCGTAGGCAACACAATGTGTGCTCTTCTTCTTCGTAGGTATTCAATTCTTGTTCTAAAATATTTATAAAAAATTTATTGATTGTCAAGAAATATCCCAGTTTGTATTACTATTTATTTAGCTTTATGTAATAAAGATATTAAATAAAATCACGCTGAATTAAAGAATATGTATGTTAATTACAAAAAATCTATCACAATAACATAACAACAATATACAACTATATTTGTTAATATTCTTTGATTTATTTTTCAAACATTGATTTAAAATTACTGGAAATATTATATTTCCTTGGACAAGAATAAAGGTTTCATTTAATTTGGAAAATGCTTCTTTCCAATGGCAAAAGGTGTCATTCCATTTGCAAAAAAGTTTCATTCAATTTGTAAAATGTTTCATTCCAACTAGAAAAGGTTTAGGTCGTTTAATTTGCAAAAGGTTTCATTTAATATGGAAAAGGTTTCGTTTAAGTTGGAAAAAGTTTCGTTTAATTTGTAAAAGATTTCATTTAATCTGGAAATGCTATATATCGGCCAGCATTTAGGTATCTCCCCAGCATTTAGGTTGTAACATGGATTCCTTAATAAAATAAGTATACATAAAAACGCGTGCAAGATATTTTCAATTACTCCACAACAGAGTCTACTCGAAGCGATCACCTTCAACACAACAATATTGGCGACAAGGAGAACAATAGGAATAAAATGGATCAAGCTCAATTTCAACAATTATTAGAAGTCTTCACAAGATGCCAGCAAGTGTTGTTAAACCAAATTTCAGAACAATCCAGATCAAAACAGCCGCGGCAACAACAACAACCAAATGTGCAACAGTTAATTATTCCGCCATTTGAGCACGTCGATTCAAGCAAAGAAAATTTCAAACTGTACATGCAGCGATTCGAAAATTACTTTATAATGCGTGATGCAATAAAGGACAAAACCCTGTGTCATCAAATGCTAATAAATTCAATAGGGTCAACACATTTCGAACGAATGGTGTCTCTAGTTGCCCCAAAGAAATTGGCAGACGAAATTGGCAGTGAGGATCAATCATTGCAGTGTTACACCGTGATCTGAACGAGTGCCAATTTGTTTCAACGTGTGAATTTAAGGCAGGCATTTCAAACATCTTTCTTCGAGCACAGTTTATAAGAGGGTTAAAGGACACATACATAAGAGAACAGCTCATACAATCTGATGAATCTAGTTTTGAAAAAATTATGGAAAAGACATTGTCATTGGAAGCGTCAAAGATCGACAGTCAAGAACTAAATTCAAAACACTACGTATGTCAAAAATCCAGAATTTATTTTGCACATTTAGGCATTGACAATCTATGCATTCGTTGCGGAAGGAACAACCACAAAGTGAAGGACTGACACACCAACCCCAAGAAGCTAAAATGCAGGTCATGTAACAAGACGGGTCACGTTCAACAGGTGTATATAAAAACGTTAATTGCAGACAAAAACAAGAGCAATGTGGCATCAAACGACGATTACGATGAATCTATCCACAAATTAAACAACATTAACAAAATTGTTGACATTTATCACATGGTTACTGTTCAAATTAATGGTCGGCGTCAGAATTTTGAAGTGGACTCTGGAGTAAAATACACATTGATCAACAAAAGTGCGTACGTCAACGTCAAAACACAATTACAGCGTTCCTTAATAGCGTTTCGTTCCTACACCAGAAATAGTTTAATTCCTTATGGAAAGGTAAGCGTAGAAATTGAATTCAACAAAAATAAATCAAAACAAGAAATGTATATCGTACCAGATGAATATGAACCACTACTAGGACGCATTTGGATACGCAAACTTCAAATAAACCTTCAAGATATTGATAATAGACAATTAGCTTTAATTCAATCAGTTCGAATAAATACCAATTGTACAATTAATGACATTGTCAATAAATTCCATGCTGTTCCAATTTTTTTCAAAGAACGGGAAGTTCCATTTCCCTTCGCCAGCGCATCGAAAAAGAACTTGATAATTTGGAATCGACAGGTATCACCGCAGTTAGTCTCAGCCAACTATCCAATTCGCCGGATTGATGAAATTTTAAATAACCTGAAAGGCGCTAAGTTCTTTTGCCGTTTGGATTTGTTCAAAGCGTATTTACACCTGCAAGTTGATGAAGAATCCAGTCAAATCCAAACCATATCGACCCATAGAGGAACTTATAAATTTAATCGCCTATCTTTTGGAATAAAGACAGCACCTTCGGAGTTCAACCGTATTTTAGAACAAATTTTATCTGGTTTGAAAAATACTATGTCATATTTTGACGACATCGTAGTATTTGGCGCTACAGAAAATGAATGTCTACATAATCTTCATGAATGTCTTCAACGTTTAAAACAGTACGATTTACATCTAAATTTAAGAAAATGTTCATTTATGAAAACTCAAATAGAATATCTAGGACATGTAATTCAACATAATAAAATTTCGAAATCACCCTCAAAAATTCAAGCAATAGCCAACATTCCGAGTCCTTCAAACATAGATGTCTACAATTACTTCGCCCTTACGATTGTTGCTGCAAAAGAATAAAAGGTTTTTCTGGTCAAGAGGTTGTGAAAGCTCATTTTTAAAACTTAAAGAAATAATAGCTAGTGACCGAGTACTAATGCCTTTTGATCCAGATTTGCCGGTAATAGTAGCATGCGATGAGAGTCCCACTGGGATAGCAGGAGTACTGTCATATAAAGTAAATGGCCAAGAACATCCAGTAGCTTTTGCTTCCAGATCGTTAACAGCAGCCGAGAAAAATTATAGTCAATTGGACCGCGAAGTTTTAGTCATAATATTCACAGTAAACTATTTCTTCGTGTATTTGTATGGTCGCAAATTTAAATTAAACACAGACAATCGTCCTTTATGTCGGATATTCCATCAAAATAATAAATTACCAGCAATAACATCAGCCAGATTATTACGTTACGCAGAATTCTTGTCAAACTTCGATTACGAAATTGGAAAAAAGGAACAGAAAACTCAAACGCAGATTGTCTTTCAAGAGCTACTCAAATTTTCAAGCAACCAACTACAGATCAAGCTATGAATGAAGAAGTGAATCAGATTTGTTTAACATCAATTTTTCAAATTACTTGCGAAGTCATCAACGCCGAATTAATTGCTCAAGAAACTGCAAAAGTTCAATACTTATCCAATATGTTACAAAAATTACGGAATGGCGATGAAACAAATGAAATGTATACGATCAATGACAACATTATTTTTAAAGGATAACGAGTTATGATTCCAAAAACTCTCCAGCCTCAAATATTGAAAGAACTACACCACACGCATGCCGGAATTACAAAAATGAAGCAAATAGCTCGAAGGTACTGCACATGGAAAGAAATTGACTGCGATATTGAAAGAATGGTACGAGAATATGAGTCTTGCGTTCAAATTCAGTCAAAACCAGCGAAAGCCCCATTACACCACTGGAAGGAACCACCAGGAAACTGGGAAAGAATACATATTGACTATGCGGGCCCATTCCAGAACCATCATTTTCTAATTGTAGTGGATGCGAAGTCGAGATGGGCTGAAATAAAAATTCCACGTGATGCACCTACAACTGAAATTATCTTAAAGCTTTTATCGGACATTTTCGCAAGTCATGGGTTTCCAATCATAATGGTATCGGACAACGCCAGTATTTTCAAGAGTGACCAGTTCAAAGAATATTGTACAGTTAATGGAATTTTTCAAAAGCTAATAGCCTCTGGTCATCCGAGCACCAATGGCTTGACAGAGCGAAATGTTCAAACCCTGAAAAGGAAATTGAAAGCAATGTCGACAGAACGAGGTACATTACACAGCAAGGTAAATGAAATTTTACAAAGAAATAGAGCAACACCCCTTTTATGCGGAAAAA